TGACTTCCTGATCGGAGTGGGACGAGGGCCCTGAAGTGCGAAAAGTGGTGTGCCAAGGATTTTTGGGGATTTGGGGTGGAGTCCACGGGTCGGAACTGAGATCTCCTGTGGCAAGCTTCAGGCGTAGGAATGCAAGTGTCTTCTGGCTCAGAGTTGGGGCGATGATCGATCGTGCTGCCTGGGCTGGGGTGGGGTGTTACGGGCGTCTCTCTGGGAGTGTTCGTACCACTGCCGACCGTCGCAAGTCTCGGGGTCCGACGAAGACGAGCTGGGTTCTCGTCGCTCGGTCCTGGGATGGGCTCGTTGTGCGTCCCTCGCCTGCCGATGCTCGTTGGGCTGCCGACACTCCGAGCATGGCGGGCGGGGCCAGAACCGGGATATGGAGTCCCAGGGGGCCACGGTTAACCGGTGGTAAGGGAGGACGGTATAGTAGGGAGGGAAGTCAGTGGTGATGGCAACGAAGCCTGGGGTTAGAAGATATTGCTGGTTTCGGCTGTCCGGATAATCGGGAATCTGTGGGTCTCGGTTGATTGCCAGCTGGAAGTCACCCCTGCACAGTCGCTCGTTTTCAGTCCGGCAGGGGTACTCAAGGTACCCAGGGTTCCATAGGTGGCGATGTTGTCGGATCCGCTGCCAGCGGATCTGTTCCCTCTCCCAATACGCTCGGTATTCTGGGTTCCTCAGGCATTCGCGATCGGTGATCCAGAAAGGGGGATCTATCACCATGTCTCATTCAACAGAACTCATGCACACACATCTTCCTACAGGGCGAGGTCGTACCTGGCTTTTGCAGGCGCGCGTGTAGATGGCAAGTCCGCGGACGACTGCTGTCTTACACGAGCGTGCACACTGGTCAGTTGGTCAGATCCTAAACCGCGCAAATAATCAAGGAACGATCCATCGGCGTACTGGTTCAACCATGCAGCTAGTTCCCTCAGGCTATCAATCTTGTTCCGTTTTGGACATTCACAAAGCATGCACACCCAGCGGTCCCCGTATGGCGTCGGGACCTTAATTTGTCCCGACCCGTATCGCAGATGGAGATTCCGTTATCCACATCGAGATCTGTCGTGCTAAGTCCATTCGGGGTTGCGGGCCGGCCTCGTGGGTGCGCGTGTAAGTCGCGCTCGTTAGATCGCACTTGCACGGGGACTCGTGGGATTGATCCACTATGGATCGATCTATCAGCCAATCACCTATGCAAAAAAAAGGTTCATGTAATCATGCAATAATCTCTCAACTATTTTTGTTCGAATGAAAGCAGTTATGTGGCCATCAGGAGGACATCTCATCGCCATCCAGACATACATCGAAGCACTGTAACAATATCAAACTCCTTTCTCCTACCAATCATCCGGGTGAGAATAGATCGACGCTGAGAGCCCTGGATGATTCAGGATTACACACAAAACATCGGGTATTCAAGCATTACAAGATCATCAGACCCATCTCATCAAGCAAATGCAAAACGAAAGAGGGAGGACAGAGGTTGAGCCATACATCACACAAAGCCGAAAGAAATGCAAAACAAGGGCGTCTCGCCCGGAGCCAAAATTTTATATACAGGGATTGAGAAAAGACAAAGAAGATCGCAATCCCACATCCGTGTGTTCCCCTCTCTTTCTCTCTCCGATGCGGACAGTCCGTCGTCTCGCACCCACCAACGAAGTTGTCACCCCGCTTAGTCCGCATGCGCCCGTCAGGTTCGCTCGTGCGCCACAGTCTGTTGTGGCCTACACGTCAACCCCTCGCACTTGGCACCAGCTCGTCGGCTCGCCCAACTCCCACATCAACTCACCTCTTACTTCGCTCATTAGCCAACCCTCACTAATCGCGCTAACCTCGAGCTTCCAAAATTTTTAAGAGAGCTATCTAATCGGGCCGACGAAATTTATAGCATGCATGCGTGCGCGAAGATGCAAGATTGCAGGGATTGGAAAGAGGAGCAAGGAAGGAAGTGCCTACGCTTGGCATGGCCAGATCGCGGCATGGGGGACGTAGCCACTCTCCACGCATCGATCTAGGCATGCAACGCTCAGGCCAATCAGATGCAGCAAAAAGAAGGGAAAAGGTCGGGAAGAAGGCGAGGGAACAAGAAGAAAGATACAGTTACGATGGCGCCCGCCCAACGATTACAGTTGCATGCAAGATTAAGGGCGCCGCTTAGTCAGAACTTCGTTCCCGCCGCAGGAAGATGCGCGCAAGAAAAAGACACCGCTCGACAAGAATTTCAAAAAGTCCTAAATTCCTATTTGAACTCAAAATTGCAACAGAAAAATTCCGACGAGACAGAAGAAAAGCAGAAAGAAATCAAAATTCCGAGAGCCCTCGGGGGCTCGTCCTTAGTTGAAAGGAAAATTTAAAAAGAAACTGGAAAGCTCCCGCGTGATCATCTCGCCAAAAATCTCAGTTTCCCCCTTTTACTCCCAACAAAGAAAAAAAAAAACATCGCCAACTGTTATTGATCGCGCCCAACGGGGCGCGCACACTCAACCGTCTATCCCGGGCCTGTCCCATCACCGCCGAAGGGGGAGGAGCGAAGCGAAGGAAAAGAAAGAAGTGAGGACACCGACACAATTTACCCGCCGATCCCACCTCCCGTAATTTGCCCAACCTTCCCATCTCAGGACCCCTCATCGTCATCGTGCAAAAAGTCGCGCGACACAGAAAGTGGTTCGTCACATATGTGACGCGCCCAGGGGGTTCCAATCTTGAGCAAGCTCCTGCTTGCTCGATGTTGCGACACATGCCGATCTCTCTAATCGATCGACGACGCGGAGCTCTCTACGTGCCACTTGCCGTGCGATAAGAGTGTGGAAGTCATCCAACGTGGCACACGCGGGCTCTATCCTACAAGTTCCCCAGGAAGGGCAATCTAACCACAGACGAAGGAGGTGGGGGGGGATCTTGCTAATTTACACGTGTCATTACCGCAAGATACGAGTGTGGAAATCATCCTGTTGACACGTCATCAGATCCGATGGTGCGCTAATCTATGTGTCCGAAATCGGAATCAACGGGGGTTTTGAGTTGAACGGTTCAACTCCCATTCAACTCCCGTTTCAACTCCCCGTTGAACCGCGTTGAACGTGGTACAACTCGGCCTGCGGATTTTTTTTTTGCAGGCAAAACATAGGTGAAAAAAAATATATATACATGGGGGTGTAGATTTTTTCGTTCTCTACATCCCCATATTTTTATGTTTATTTTTTTAGCATTAAAATTATTTTTAAAAAATCAAAAACAAAACCAGACTCAAACAGATAGATTTTTTTTCCTTTTTTTTTTTTTGATTGAATGATTAATTGATTGATT